GATTCAGAGCCTCAAAGGGGATGCTGGGATATGCCCTACAGGTGTGTCATGTAGAAATGTCATCTGTATTAAATTTGAGCTCAAATGGTCCTGTTTTAGTGCCTGGTTTTTGTCTGTCTAGATATACAGTAACTGGCACAGACAAACAAAAACCAGAGCGCATGAGAACATTGTCACTGTAATTCTAATAATTATATAGACGTACTCACTAACAGAAGAAAATTTAAGATGCATTTGAGTGTGTGTACTAGACTAGTGCTAGGCAATGTTTAAGTTTCAATGTTTAAGTTTCAATGTTTATAATATATTATAATTTATTATATATTATTATAAATGTTATATATTATATTTTTTATTTTATTTAGATTAAGTATTTCTCTTTATAATATAACTTATGCTTTATAATTTTTGAGTCAGAGGAATAATAATCCATTTATAATTTTGTATAATTTATGTATGGTTTGTTTTGTGTGGATAGATAGATAGATAGATTATGATTGATTCCTCTGAGTTTCAGAAATTAAATAACAAATAAATAAATCAGTAAATGAATTACTTCATGAATTTATATATTAATTTATATTTATAATTTACTATATAATATATTTTAATTCATGTAACTTTATTATATAAATCAATAATTTAGTATTTATTTTGAAATAATTTTAGAGTCATTGCCAGGTAGATTCAAAATTCTCAAAACAAAGTGAAATACAGTACACATCTAGTTCTAAATAATCATGGCAGGTTTTCTTAACTACACGAACAAAAGCAAGAATTTAATTTTTATACTTTTATTATGTACATATTTTATCTAAAACGTTGGGGGAAAAAGTAACATTTTTGAGTGATTGCATTGTTGCATGTGAATTTTATCAATTCCAACTCTGATTCTGCTTATCGATTCCAATGTGGTTAAAAAATGTCATTTAGATATCAAAACATATTTACTTTGTGTGTCTGTTTGTGTGCAAAATAGTACTGCAAGATTCTGGATACATGGTTGTAGTTCTCTCACAATTCTGAAGAAAAAATTAGACAACTAACAAAAATCTCATGGAATTTATGCATGGAATGATTCAATGACTTACTCAAGATTTGCTTGTTTCATTACTGGATGAATCAGTGTTTTTGAATGAATCTCTTGAATGAATGATTCAAAGACAAATACATTTTTAACAGCCCCTTTTCACCACCTAAAAATAAAAGATGCGCACACAGGAATCGATAGGTGGAATTGAAATTTAAATTTTACAAGTATCTGATTCCTGACCTTAAAGGGTTAGTTCACCCAAAATTGAAAATTCTGTCATTAATTACTCACCCTCCTGTTGTTCCAAACCCGTAAGACCTTCGTTCATCTTTGGAACACTGTTTAAGATATTTTTGATGAAATCTGAGGGCTCTCTGACCCCTCCCATAGACAGCAAGGTAACTACCACGTTCAAGGTCCAGAAAAGTACCAAGATGATCGACAAAGTAGTCCGTGTGACATCAGTGGTTCAACTGTAAAGTTACGAAGCTACGAGTCACACGGACTACTTTGTCGATCATCTTGGTACGATCAACGAAGGTCTTACGGGTTTGGAACAACGGGAGGGTGAGTAATTAATGATAGAATTTTCATTTTGGGATGAACTAACCCTTTAAGTGTCCGATTCTGGAATTGGAATTGATTTTCGATTCCCAACCCTAGTCATACTTCTCCCTGTTAAACTAATAACTGACTGTATTGATGTAGCAACTGACCCATAATGGTCTCTGTGTTGCAGTCGCTCCTCTGGCGGTGGGCGACTATCAGCAGGTGCTGGTGAAGCCGGGCGGTTCTGCCGATCTGCCGTGTCAGGTGCGCTCAAACCTGGCTCAGGTGTTGTGGAAGTTCAACGGCCGCGTCCTGACCGAAGCCTCGCGCTTCCGTCTGCTGAGCGAGAACAGGCTGCTGATCTACACCGTGACGCCGGAGGACGCCGGCCGCTACGAGTGCTGGTCGGTCGAAGCGTCCGCGGGACAGAACTTCACCCGTTTGGTGGCGGCATACGCGCTTCGACTGGAGCTTCCTGAGAGCGTGCCGTCCATATCCGCTCTGCGTCCGTCCAGCGCCGCGTCTACGCTCACACCGGAGGAAGGTAATACCGGTAACGGCTCGGGACTAACGCCGACTCGCACGGATGCACCCTCACTAACAACCCCTCCCAGCAATGCCATTAAACCCAAAGCCTACATCCCTCCGGAGGTCAGCAACTTACCCACACGCACTGAGACGCTCGACCCCTCGGCTAAATATATTCAGCACGACAACAGCGCCGCCCTGCTGTCGCTCTTCCTGCTCTTCTTCCTGCTCTTCCTTGCCGCTCTGGCATACAACTGTTACATGCAGTACCTGCCGGCGCCGTGTCTCCGCCTGCGATCCACGCTGCTCGGCTCCAGCAAAAAGCCCCAGCTGGAGTATGCAGCCTGCGAGTGAGTTGACAAAAACAGTGGATGATTAATTCATGATTCAGACTGATCTGGTTCTCAAGTTTATCTGACTCGACTGATTTATGAGCAAATCATTAAGCCTGAATTTATGAACTGGATGACCAATTCACTGACTAAGAGTGCTAACGCAATCGAATAAACGATTCATTCATAAATAAATCAGAGACTATTGCTTCTCTTATGGACCCTTATGAACTCAACAATTTGTTAAAGGGTTAGTTCACCCCAAAATAAAAATTCTGTCATTAATTACTCACCCTCCTGTTGTTCCAAACCCGTAAGACCTTCGTTCATCTTTGGAACACTGTTTAAGATATTTTTGATGAAATCTGAGGGCTCTCTGACCCCTCCCATAGACAGCAAGGTAACTACCACGTTCAAGGTCCAGAAAAGTACCAAGATGATCGACAAAGTAGTCCGTGTGACATCAGTGGTTCAACTGTAAAGTTACGAAGCTACGAGTCACACGGACTACTTTGTCGATCATCTTGGTACGATCAACGAAGGTCTTACGGGTTTGGAACAACGGGAGGGTGAGTAATTAATGATAGAATTTTCATTTTGGGATGAACTAACCCTTTAAGTGTCCGATTCTGGAATTGGAATTGATTTTCGATTCCCAACCCTAGTCATACTTCTCCCTGTTAAACTAATAACTGACTGTATTGATGTAGCAACTGACCCATAATGGTCTCTGTGTTGCAGTCGCTCCTCTGGCGGTGGGCGACTATCAGCAGGTGCTGGTGAAGCCGGGCGGTTCTGCCGATCTGCCGTGTCAGGTGCGCTCAAACCTGGCTCAGGTGTTGTGGAAGTTCAACGGCCGCGTCCTGACCGAAGCCTCGCGCTTCCGTCTGCTGAGCGAGAACAGGCTGCTGATCTACACCGTGACGCCGGAGGACGCCGGCCGCTACGAGTGCTGGTCGGTCGAAGCGTCCGCGGGACAGAACTTCACCCGTTTGGTGGCGGCATACGCGCTTCGACTGGAGCTTCCTGAGAGCGTGCCGTCCATATCCGCTCTGCGTCCGTCCAGCGCCGCGTCTACGCTCACACCGGAGGAAGGTAATACCGGTAACGGCTCGGGACTAACGCCGACTCGCACGGATGCACCCTCACTAACAACCCCTCCCAGCAATGCCATTAAACCCAAAGCCTACATCCCTCCGGAGGTCAGCAACTTACCCACACGCACTGAGACGCTCGACCCCTCGGCTAAATATATTCAGCACGACAACAGCGCCGCCCTGCTGTCGCTCTTCCTGCTCTTCTTCCTGCTCTTCCTTGCCGCTCTGGCATACAACTGTTACATGCAGTACCTGCCGGCGCCGTGTCTCCGCCTGCGATCCACGCTGCTCGGCTCCAGCAAAAAGCCCCAGCTGGAGTATGCAGCCTGCGAGGCCGGCCTCATGGAGCCAGTGCAGGAAAAGCCGGATCCGGCCAATCAGAACGGAGCGCATCCGCTGCGCGCACTCAGAGACACCGGATACGAGACGGAGCCGGAATGCAAGAACGCCGGAGTTCCATCCGGCAGCGACGAGGACAGTCCCTCGCAAGAGCAGCCCTTCGACATTGACTGTGCGTCGCAGCCGATTGAGTATGCAGACGCCGACACGCCGTACTGATGCACCGCTTTTCACTCGCATTCATAGAATCACCGCAGCTCTGCAAGAACAAACGCAGAATTCCAAATAAAATTCCAAATTGGAAACATTGTTTACCAAATCGGTAAGTTTCTTGATGTTTTCCAAATTGGAGCACCGGACTGTTTTTGAATATTTGTGGGGCGTTTGATGTTCACCTTTGGCTTGCACTGCAAAAATGTATTACTTAGTTAGAATTTTTGTGATGTTTTCTGTTACAAATATCTAAATATTCTTAAATTTTGATTCTTGCTTTATGAAAGAAAAGTTTAATGAAAGTGTTTGCTTAAAATTAAAAAAAAAAAATCTGTTTTCTTTTAGCAAAATATAATTTCTTGTCATTTTTTTTCTTTTGATTTTTAGGTGAAACCCAAATTTTTTAATTTTATTATTATTATTTTTATTTTTTTGCATAAAAGGTCTCCTTTTCTTTTTATTTATTTCTTTTTGCATTTTGACAATTTGATAACAGTAATTAAAAAAAAAAAAAATAAAATAAAAATAAAAAATAAAATGTGTTATTGTACTGACAGGTTGATTTTGATGACTGTATTACATATAAAGTATTTTTTGGCCTTATGCTTATTAGAAGAACTCTGCCAAAAATGTCACAAAAACAGCAAAATATAATTTATACATGTATAAAACAAATGTATATATTGACATTTTAAGCATAAACTCACTTCATTTTGAGATTTTTTTCAGAAGGCAAGACTTAATATCTTAATTCATTTTCCTTCTCTTGATTTAAGAATGGTTAGATATTCACGATTGGAAAAGGACTGATATTCTGAGTAAATCATTCTTGCAGAGGTTTTCTGCTCTGTCTGCGTGTGACGTCGAATCTCAGGGATGCTTTCAGTGTCACACACACAGGATCTCATGATGAAGAACTGCTCTGGAAGAGCTCAAACATGGAGCCAGACCAAAAACACTGTGATGTGTCTCTTGCACAGCGTCCTGTGGTTGTTTCTGCTGTTGGTGCAGATGAGATGTCTTAACACACTTAACCTGTGTCTCACATAACAATACATTTGATTCGTGAGACTTTTCGACTGTAGTCCACAAACGTGAGCTTTGAAAGCTTTATGTTTCAGATATTTTTAAAGATATTATATTATTTAATTGTATGTCAGCAATAATAGTGTAAATATCACAAAAAATGTCAAGAAACCCCAAAATTGAAAGAAAAACCAATACTTTTTTTTTGCATTTTTAGGACCATATTATTCTTTTTTTCTCTTCTTTCTCCATTTTGACATTATTTTATGAAAAACTACTTTTTGCATTTTTTTTACTTTTTTTTTTTTGCATTTTACGTTTCATATTTTGACATTTATTGGACAAATATGTATGACAGTGATACTAATACACATAAAAATAGTCAATTGCATCCTGACAGGGTAATTTTCATGATTGTAGTACATACAAGTTATTTTTTGGTGGAAAACTATAAACAAAATGAAAAACTATTACTATTATTATCATTATTATTTATTATTATTATTTGTTTTTGCCTAAAAGGACCATTTTTAGGACCTTTTTTGCATTGATTTTAATACAAAAATAGATGAAATTGTGTAACAATTAATGACTGTATTACATATAAAGTTTTTTTGGCATTGTGTTAATTACTATATTAAGTCACAAAAACAGTTTTTTCTTTATGCGATATATAACTAACTTTTGATTTTGGGCTGTAATGTAAAAAAATCATTTTTAGCACCTTTTTTGGCATTTTGACAGTACATTAGACATTTTAATATAAATAATAATAATAAAGATGATGATGATGATGATAATAAATTGCATCCTGATAGGATAATATTCATGACTGTATTATATATAAAGTGTTTTTTGCCATTATGCAGATTATAATGTTAGGAAAAAATGTGCTTAAATCTCATGAAAAAAAATGCTTGTATGTTTTTCTTTTGATTTTGGGGTGAAATGTGACCTGGCCGTGGTTTGTTTGCTTTGTTTTCCCGTGTGGCATTTCTGAATCTGCTGTCCTCCTCTGATTCTCAGCACACTCTTGTATTTGTCTCTCTCCCTCCGTTTCCTGTGTCCTGCTCAGCTTCCTGGGCTGTTCCTCCTTCCCCTCCATCCCTGCCCGGCTCCTCCTCCTCCTCCTCCTCCTCCTCCTTCCTGGGCTGTTCCTCCTTCCCCTCCGTCCCTGCCCAGCTCTGTCCCCTCTTCCTCCTCTCTGGCCGGGGCTCGTCTGATTCCTCCTCTGCTGAGGGAGCAGTCCTGGAGCGTTCACCCTCACCAGGCCTTTCTGCTCTTCTGCCTGGCCTTGGGTGAGTGCTGCCTCTGACCTCTGACCTTTCTCTCTCACTCATCAGTCTCGTCTCAGTACTCTGAAGTGTGACTTCCTTTCGCTCCTCCTGCTAAGTGTTCTGATTGGCAGACAGGAAGTAGAGGAGAGAAAGAGGAAGTCACTAAAGAGTATTTAGACAGTGTTTGTGTGTCTGCATGATCCAGATCTTCTGCACACCGTCTGATGCCTAAAATATTTTCTTTTTAAAATTTTATTTTTACTTTTTTTTTTTTTTTTTTTTTTTTTTTTTTTAAGAGCGTCAAGAATGAATACGTTTATTGGTAAATAATTTTTGAATTTCCTTAATTTTTATTTCAAAGTTCTCTTCAGATCCTACTTTATGATTATGGCTTTGTTTTCGCCACTTTTGTGTCGTTTTACCTGCTGACGTGAGTCTCGGACTCTTGTGAATGAAGGTGACTGGCTGAAGGACTGATGGACGTTCCAGTCGTGTACAGTGTAAATACAGTATATGTACATATGAAAAAGATGTACAAAGTTTTTATTTGGTAGAGAGCCTGAATAAATGTTTGAATGGCAAAACATGTTTATTGTGTTGAGATGTGTTAATGAAGCTGTATATTATATCTTGTTTTAACATGCAAACTCATGACACACAGAATCTTAGTGAGGAATTACAAATATAAATCTCACAAATCTATTCAAATATGCTCTGCTTTTTCTGCTAAAATTGTTTAAAGTATTATTTATGCTATTATTTGAAAGTTTGGGGTTCGGAAGGTTTTTTAATGTTTTTGAAAGAGTCTCCTGCTCATCAAGGCTGCATTTATTTGATCAAAAATACAGTAAAAATGATTATCATCAATGTTGAAAACAGTTGTGCTGCTCAATATTTTTGTGAAAACCGTGACACATTTTAATGAATGAATAGAAAGTTCAAAAGAACAGCATTTATTTGAAATAGAAATATTTTGCAATATTATAAATGTTTATTTTCACTGCTGATCATTTTAATGCATCCTTGCTGAATAAAAATATGAATTTCTTTTAAAAAATCTTACTGACCCAAAACCTTTGAACGGTCATGTACTAATGGAAAATTCATGTTTATCATCTTTGAATCTACACTATGGTATTATTACACTTAATAAGAACTGTTCCATTATCATCAGGAGAAGACAGTAGTGCAGTCATTTCCTGCAGTGGCATTAAACGTGTGTGTGTGTGTGTGTGTGTGTGTGTGTGTGTGTGTGTGTCTCCTGAAGATTGCAGCATGTGAGATCAACTAATTTCTTGGTGGATGAACTTTGTGTTATTTGTCACCATGTACATGTTCTTCATGTACTCCAAGTACTGATGCAAGTTACTGGTTTTACCAAGTAATAAGGTGAAGTATTGGATATAACTTTGCACAAGTGATTTTGTGTGTGTGTGTGTGTGTTAAAGACGTGTATTTGGCATGTATTTTATTGTGCAATGTTTTAGTTTTTACAAAATGAGGGACGAGTCAAAGTTTCTTGTGGTGATGCTGGAAACACTCATTTAACCCTTGTGCTGCTGAAAGTCCTTTGCATAATTTGGTTTTCTAGTCAAAAATAACCAGCCTTTTAAATAGTCTTTCATTATGCTGTATTATCACCAAAACTTGGATATAATAATTTGATCAGCTTTTTCTGTTACTTGAAACAAAACAAACTGATAAAAAGATTCAGTATTTGGCAATATCTCCATGAGAAATTTACAAGCGATTTTGTGTGCCAGTCATTTTTGACCAAGCACAACATAAGTGTAAGAAGGTGAGGAAAAAATCCTCCCCTTTTTTTTTTTTTTTTTTTTTTAAGTAGTCATTTTAAGTTGGTTTTAGTCCAATGCAATAACATGAACTAACATTTTCACCAAAATAAAAATTAAAAAAGGTCATAATGACTGGAACAAAACATGAGGGTAAAAACATTTTTTTTTTAGGATTAATTTATGCATTTTTTTAAAAATCATTTAAAAGGACCTAAGCATTTTTTTTTTTTTCATTTGCAAAACTTAAATTTCAACAAAAATACAACATTTGAGAACAAAAACAAGTGTGGGAATACAGAGAGAGAAAAAAATACAATTTGTTGAAAGTGTTGTATAATATGGGAAAGTTTTTAATGCTTTTTATTAGAGATTTTTTTTGAAGTGATCATCCAGACAAAGCAAATACATATAGTGATTATTGTCAGTTTCTGATCTGAAGCTACAGTTTGTTATGCATGTAGTATGAGAGTGTGATCATACAAACAGCATGATGTGGATGAAGATGAGTGAAGTGCTAAATACCCTGTAGGATCCATATGTAAGTGCAGTTTTCCTTCAGGTCCTAGAGATGTAAGTGTTGAGTGGCACATAAACGGGCAGAAGCTCGAGACTCCTGTCACTGAATACAGACACGTGGTTTCCCATGATGCCGTGCTGGTGAGCAGCTGGCTGAGGGAGGAGGCTTTGAATAAAGGCGTCCAGTACGAGTGTACAGCGGTGTCTGCAGCGGGAAGCCACGCGTCGAGAGTGGAGCTTCGGCTCGACAGCAGAGGTAAAGCGTTTCATCGCACTGCTGTGTTAGTCTGAGCTGTGGCATGCTGTAATGTGTCTCTGTGTGCTCTCAGACGAGGCCGTGGAGCGCTGGAGAACCGCTCTGACCGAGCACAACACACTCCTGCAGCAGTGGAAGAAAGCATGGGTGAGGGAGAACCCACACAGACACACACAAGTGAAGACATAACTGAATGAAATGAAAGTATGTGAATCATCAGGAATGATATTTCACAGCTGCATAACTGTTTTCAACATTGCTGATAACCAGAAGTGTTTCTTGAGCAGCAAATCAGCATATCAGAATGATTTCTGAAGATCATGTGACACTGAAGACTGGAGTAATGATGCTGAAAATTCAGCTGCGCATCACAGGAATAAATTTTATTTTATACTTTTTTTTTTTATATATATTTTATTTTAATTTATATTTATTTAGTTTTATTTTATTTTTTATATATTTTTTTATTTATTTTAAGTTTTATATTTTATTTAAATGTTATATTTTATATTTGTTTTATTTTAGTTTTTAGATTTAATATTTTATATTTAGTTTGGTGTGGGCTGAAGATCTCATCATATGTTTGTGATGATGCTGATGTCTGTTGTTTCTCGTTGTCCTGCAGGAGAGCTGTGACGGAGAGGGTGTTCTCTGAAGCGGCTCATTATCGCTCATCATGTTATCATTTTCTGACTCCAGGGACAGACACTTGGACGAGAGCACACACACACACACACACAGCTCATGTCACACTGGTGTTGTGTGGTGGTTTCTTCTCTCACAGAAGAACTCTCCGAGTCTGTTCCCGATCCGTGGATCCCGTCAGGATTCCAGGCTGTTGGAGAGATCTGTGGAGGACGAGTGCGGTGAGACGGGCCTCTCAGGCCTCAGCCGTCCACACACTTCTATTTATACTCCCTCCATCCTCGAGAGCAAGTGACAGCGGCTCATGTTAGTGAAAGCAACATTTGTTTTTATAATAGTCCTCTTGAGTTATTTAAATAATCGTGTGTTTATCTGAGCAGATATATTTCAAAGAAGTTACTGGTCCTCCAAAAGAGGTTGCAACCACAATAAATAATATTTCTATAATTTGTGAGACTTTAACCATGTTTTCTAAACGCATGTGAAGCTTTTGTATGAATGTTATTTCATTATCAGTGAGATTTTGAATGTTTTTATTTGCATGTTTTCCATTTTCACGATCATTTTAGTTATTTTGGTACATCAATTTAATTTTAAAATGAGAAATGTTGCTTCGGCAACTAGTTGAAATAAAATTCATTTAGGTATTTTATTTTATTTCAAGTAACAAAAATGGTTGTTTTTATGGCTTTAGTTTTAGTTAATGAAAATAACCAAGCAGGTCAATGCTGTCGTCATTTATCCTTCTATCAAGTCCTGCTGCTTTACCAGCTGATCCAGACCTCTATAACACACACACAGACTCTTACAAACCTATTAAAGTCATTGTTTAAACCTCTAAACAAGGGTAGGTGACCTCTCAGTCTTTATTGCTTTAGTAAAAATTCATCCTTCTGCATAAAACCAAAAGTGGACAGATACAGTACATACATGCGTTTCATTTAAGCTTTTAAATCACATTTTATAGATCAGCAATCAATGTTTTGAAAACTAGCATGCAATTTTTGTATGCATATGCAACAGTATAATGCAGCATAGCTGTCACACAATGCACATTCAGTACATGTTTCCACCAGGTTCTTAAATCAATGGTTTAAAATCAATTCCTTCAGAAACAGGAAATGAGTGAGATCCAGCCACAGGTGAGTCAATTTAATGCAAAGTGAATTTAATTAAAACATACTTTGATAAAACAGACTTAAGCATTTGTAAGTAGATTTGGTCATGTTCCAGCAAAGGCCAGGGACCTTTATGAGCACTGAACAGGCCTGTTTAATGTTTCACAGTCAAACAAAGCTAGTGGCTTTTGTCATTTTGACAGCTATCGAAGTCACACAACAAGCAAATGTTGTGATTTTCGTCTTATTTAGCCTATATATTAAGGCCAGGAAAGGTGTCTGGGGGTTTAGCATTGAATCAAATAGTTTATATCTGCATTGTTTGCAGAAACAGAACAGGACTCGTATTGCAAACAATAAAATTTAATTTACGTAAATTTATAAAAATGACGACAATAGAAATCTGATAAAGCACGTTAAATATTCTGCATCCCCCCTGAAAAAGGGAACACGTTTGTATTTTATTATTATAATTTATCCAAATTAACACGAGGGATACAACATGAAAGTGTTGTAAATATTATTTTTTTTAATAGTTGTGCTTTAAAGGGTAAGTTCCCCGATTTTCAACCAGCTTAAGTAAATTAACAATGTTTGTGAAAACTACAGATCGTATTTCCGCATTTTTGTATCCCCGCTCACGGATAGTCTGAGCGAGCCCAGTGCATTATGGGTGTTGAAGTTTTCCTACCTTTTTCGCCACATCCCTTAATTCTCGTTTTTTCCCCTCTCCAGTCGTGTAGCACGTTTTTAAACCGCGTTTCTACTGCATAGACAGCCAATTTTTATCAAAACCCTACCTGCCAGCCATGAAGTATCCCTTTAACAATTAAGTCCAATATTAGGAACACCGAATCATAGCATTAGTTGCAATGTGGCGCCATCATGTGTTGAACGTTTTGAAGTGTTGATAGAAAAACTTTACACAAAGCAGATACGAGGTGGCATTTTAATTTTTTTTATTATAAAGAGCAGCAAGGATAAAATAAGTTTACAGTCATCATTTCATTATTTTTCCAAAAGTAATTTACGATAAAGGGTCAAAACCTTTTTTCTCTCTCCATATAAACCCTGTTCTTAAGTAGCACAGTTGCTGATAGTGCTGTCATCATGGCTCTTCTTCTACAACTACCTTATTAACAAAGTTTTATACGTGATAGAAGCACATTTTAAACTTTATAAAGCATCTGTACAGTATTACAATCGCCTTCCCTGAAGAATTAATGCAAACGAAGAATTTCAACCTGAGAATGGCCAATACGTTAACTAGATACACACAAATGATCTCCCTTAAGCATACAGTACATCTTTTATCCCCAAAATTAATTTAGCTCAGCCACTTAAACACTGATTTAGGTTTCTAAACACTGATGATGCAGCACAGACTTTTATTAAAGGTTCAGCTTCACTCAGAGAGGCCCTTGAGTCGCATGATTTAGTTAAGAGCCCTTACATTTTCACTGAAAATACATTTCCTACAATCCCTTGATTCTGTTCGGGCATAATCGCAGTGAAACGCAGCATCATGGTCACAGGAGTCCAGAAACGTGGTTAAGTTCTCTAGTATTCACTGAAAACCACAGGCATGTTCCAGAAGAAACAAGTGTCTCTGACCGTCACTGTTTTGGTAGCGGTCTCCTAAACAGCAGAATATGAGGTTCTGAAAAATAGAATACAAGCAAACGTTAGTCCCTCATGGGTGAGGGAGAACCCACACAGACACACACAAGTGAAGACATAACTGAATGAAATGAAAGTATGTGAATCATCAGGAATGATATTTCACAGCTGCATAACTGTTTTCAACATTGCTGATAACCAGAAGTGTTTCTTGAGCAGCAAATCAGCATATCAGAATGATTTCTGAAGATCATGTGACACTGAAGACTGGAGTAATGATGCTGAAAATTCAGCTGCGCATCACAGGAATAAATTGCATTTTACAATATATTTATATACAAAACAGCTATTTTAAATTGTAATAATATTTCACAATTTTTACTGTGTTTTTGATGCAATAAATGCAGCATTGGTGACTGTGAGAGACTGATCCCAAACTTTTGAATGTTATAGTGCTTGTTTGATTTCAGACACATTTTGGCTCACTGCACATATTTGGTAAAGGTGAGAGTGCCTTCATTCAGTATTTACAACAGCTGAAGCAAAAAATATATGCATTATTTATTTATAATGCATTTCCACATTTAAAATGCTGCCTCATCAGACTTAGGGTTGGTAGTGAGGTCAGTTAGACATAGAAAAGCTTCTTTAAAATAGTTCCAGTAAAGTTAAAAGCAACTCAGAATATGACTCAAAGCTGCAATAATTAAATATGTTAAATAATACAAATATCCTTTATGTATTTAAGCCCATTTTATTAACCAATTTGCTGCTGACCTCCGATGATCCAATTCAACTATACTAATAAGCAAACATTACACAAGATAAACTAGCATTTCTTCTTCTTTTTTATTGCTGAAGAGTGTTGAACTTTCTTCTTCTGCGTTCTACTGTACAGACGTGAATTTACTTTTCCTTCAGCCTGAGGCTTTTGGTGTGAAAGGGCTTCTACATTTGGCAAAAATAGAACTTTTTATATTAAAAGCAAACAAGCAAGCCCTGCCCAGATTCAATAAAAGTAACGAAGTAACGTAATTGGTTACTTTTTTAGGAAGTAACGCAATATTGTAATGCATTACTTTTAAAAGTAACTTTCCCCAACACCGTTCAGGACAGTTTGCAAATGCCAGATTCAAATCACATGGTCAGAGATCAGCTGACTTTAGTGTAAACACACACACACACACACACACTCTGGTTCTGATGATTGTGTGGTTTTGTGTACAGACCTGGTTCATGGATCATATAATGGACCCATCCTAGCGACTGCTGCACGCCCAGCCTCCTCCACTCATCCTCGGTCATCAGGTGGGATTTTGGCACTTGTTTGGCCAGTTCTCGCGGTAAGACCACATGTCTGCCATCACACATGACAACCAACTATATTTCATTGCATTTCAATCAGATATGAATGTGATGCTATAAAGTGACGTCACTACACTAAAAAGCACATGGGAGAAAATCCAACCATTAGTTTTGAATTCACGTCAAAACATGCCTCTAGAATGACCAAATGCATTAATAACCATACTAAGCAGCTTACATTCAACATTGATGTAATGTTACGACTAAACGAACGACGTTTAAACAAACAAACACGCCGCATCGAGGCCTCAATCCTCGTTTTTCATCTTACCGGTATTCATAAAGATCATCTGTGTATTTATCCGAGTAGTAGATCTGTTTATGAGCCATTGTAGACTGTTAAATGAAGTCAGGTATGACAATATTCAGATGTATTGATTCGATCAAACTCACTCTCGCAACTTGAATAAATTTAACCGCTAGTTTTGATTTTGAACCCGCAAGTCAACCGGAACCGCCGCTTCTGATTGGTTGACAGAGGTCATGTGACTGGAGGCGGTGTGGGCACGTCGGAAGGGCGGGGGCGGAGGAAAGCGCGGTTGCTCTGGAAACCGATCAGCGACGAGTCGTCGTGTGTCTGTCAATAGAATGTGAAAATGATTAAGAATATGCGTATGTAAATATAAAAATAATGTATTTTTGCCTCAGAAACCTGCTCAAGGTAAAGTGTGAAATGTTACTACTGCATTGTCATGCTGTTTTGATCCATGCTCGACGGTTTGCTCATCGTTTGAGAGCTTAGTAACCCTTAAAAAAGTATAACCGAAAGAAAGCAATGTTTGATTTGATTTTAGCTTTTTTAATGATTAGAACATTTCATTTTTATTACATGAAACGTTGTCAGTGCTTGACGTTTTCAAACAAAGACTTTTTCCAAAACGAAAAATAAATAAATCAATAAAATCTTGAAGAAACAGAAGAAAAACAGAAATAAACCGTGCCATTCATTCATCTAAAACTTTCTAACAACAATTTCTACTTTTATATTATACAAGCAGTTTTTATGAACTCACAAGAAAAACTTTTTAAAAATATTCTGTCAAACAATAAATAAATAAAATAAAAATCAGTAATTTTAGCTTCAAAAAAACAAAATGGGTTTAAGTGGGTGAAAATGTCCACTTTCCTTAACCAAAAATCTTTATGCATCAGTTCATGTCCTTATTATGTCAACTACCTGAATAAACTCAAACTACTATTAAATAAACTCAAAGATTTACACATTAAATGTGCATTTGATTTGTTTGAGATGTGCACTGATGCATAATATTTAATCTTCATGCTCTATACTAAATGCATCAGAATTTAACAACACAAAAAACATGAGCCACCATAATCAATATTGTTCATGAGTCAATTATAGTGACTCATCCTCGGGTATTTGCATAATAGATTGTTTGCACGAAAACAAATGTGGATCTTATGTAGTGGTATCCTAGCAACACCTGAATTCCATCTTCCTGCAAAAGCATAGTGGCATGTAGTGTACACTCGAATATGCCGTGCTACACCGGAAAACACTCACTGGCAGCAGCCAATGGCATCCGCCGGATGTGAGCTGCCAATCATTAAAGCCGGCCCCCTCACCTCATCCCTGTTGCTATGCTGTCTTTGAAACTATGGTTACAGTAAAGGTTCCTGTAGGCAGCGTCTCTCTCTCTTACCGCATGTGTCTGGATGCAGTTGGAACGTTTACTCTGTTAAATGCAGTGTTGAAATGAAATGTAATCTATATGTTGTGGATATTACTTCTTTATTCTGTATTTACATGTTTTATACTGTATGTAGACATTCATTCAAATCTTTTAGGGTCCTTAAGTTCCACATCACAAAAATAGTCTATTGTAAATCTGCAGTTTAGTTAAACAAATGCTTTTAGGACGCTAAACCTCACTATTAGTCACTGGAATAAAATTCGTCTTGTTTTAGCTTGCCATTTAAGAGTGACATACCTCATATTACGGCTGCACAATTAATCAGATTTCTAATCGTGATTACAATTACGGATGCCAAAGTTACGTAATCGTTCAAAGCGGCAATTAGTCGTTCAAAATCCACTTATGTTATTCTGCATGCTTAAGATGTTTTTTTTTCTTTCTACAGGTTATCTTAAGGGTATTTCCATTGTTTTAATTTTAGTATAACATTATAATACCATGCATATTATTTTTACTTTTTAATTTAAAGAAGAAACCAATCCATTGTATAGTTCATATTTGAGGCTTAGTAGAAAAGCAATAAAAGTTTTTCAGTTTTTTCAACGTGTTTATTTTAATCTAAAAATATGGCATGCAGTTGCTTCAAACAATGGTATAAACGTCATTCAATGTAAATTGTGATAATCATAATTAATATTTACAATTACAATTTAAAGGGAATAATCGACAATTGTGATTTTTGTCATAATTGTGCAGCCCTACCTCATATGTGTCCCAACAGACATGTGATAACGTGATGTGATTTTTGGACTTTGAAAAGGAAAGACTTCTGTGTTATTTCTCTCTTTCTCTCTGTCTCTCTCTCTCTCGCTCTCGCTCTCAGTTTCAATACTTCCTGCTGTTTTAATGAGCATGTGTGTAGGAGTGAACCCCATACACTTCAGTCACGACTATGAAAATCACACACACACATACACACACACATAGTCCGCCACCCACTAACTCTACTCTCTCTATGCGTATAAATATACACATATAGAGCGCATAATGTGTAATACATACATTTACAGTGAAACAGTTTGATTTCTTATATGTTTGTAACAGATTTTCTGTGTTTTTCTTGTTTTAGGTGTATTATGAAAGGAAGATGAACCTGATGAACTCTTTTCCACGGTGAGTAAACTGTCTTGAGAAGAGCTGTAGTGTTCATAGAGATAGAGAAATCCTGATCCAGATGCGCGCCACTGAAGCTTATTCATTATTTAAGGTTATTGATCAGATTTCTATATTGAATATATTGAAAGTCAGTGTGAAGTAATTTGACCCTGTTAACTTTATTTATAGATTTTTTTATTAGTGCATGTTATTCCAACAAATCTTTTATGTGCCTTCATTCTTTTATGTAAAGGCTAGTTTTAAAACTTGAATTTAAAATTTTCTTACATTTCTTTAAATATATCAGATTATGGCAAAATAAGAAATAAAATGGGTTGCAAATAGCATGTTGACTTCAAAACATACATTGCAAGTTTTACAGTGTCATAGATTTTTGGATTTTTCATCTGCTGGACAGTAAAATGGGTGAAAAAATAAAGATTTACATTGAAGAATAAACCACACCAGTAAGAAACCCCCTAGCAACCACACAACATCCTAGCAACAGTGGAAACACTCAACAGTGGAGACCCACAAACACCTTAGCAACCACATAGCAACATTCTGGCAACCATCTTAATACCATAGCAACTACACAGTATCACATTAAAACACTCAGAACACCCTAGCAACCACAAAGAAACATTCTTGTAACTATCCGAATACCCAAGCAACCGCATAGCATCACAATAAATATCACCCAGAACACCTTAGCAACTGCATAGCAACCACCTAGCAACCAATACCCTATCAACTGCATAGCATTACAATAAAAACCACTCAAATCACCTTAGCACCCACATATAAAACTTCTGGCAACCATCCTATTACCCTAGCAACTGCACAGCATCACATAAAAAAACACAGAACACCTTAACAACAAATAAAAACCACTTAGAACACCTTAGCAACTGCACAGCAACATCATGGATGCCATCCTAGTACCCTAGCAACAGCACAACATCACAATAAAAAACACTCAGAACACCATAGCAACAGTTAAAAACCACCCAGAACACCCTAGCAACCACATAGCAACATTCTTGTAACTATCCAAATACCCTAGCAACTGTGTACCATCAGAATAAATATCACTCCGAACACCTTAATAACAATAAAAACACTCAGAACACCTTAGCAACTGCATATAAACATTCTGACAACCACTGTAATACCTTAGCAACCACACAGCAACATTTTTGTAACCTTAGCTACTGCATAGCAACCACCTAGCAACCAATACCCTACCAACTGCATAGCATTACAATAAAAACAACTCGTAGCAATAAAAAAACACTCAGAACACCTTAGCAACTGCATATAAGCATTCTGGTAACCATCCTAATACCCTAGCAACTACACAGCATCACAATAAAAACCACTCAGAACATCCTAGCAACCACATAGCATCACAATAAATATCACTCAGAACACCTTAGCAACTGTACAGCAACCACCTAGCAACCACTCACAGTAAAAACCACTCAGAACACCCTAGCAACCACATAGCATCACAATAAATATCACTCAGAACACCTTAGCAACTGTACAGCAACCACCTAGCAACCACTCACAGTAAAAACCACTCAGAACACCCTAGCAACCACATAGCATCACAATAAATATCACTCAGAACACCTTAGCAACTGCATAGCAATTAATATCCTACCAGCTGCATAGCATTACAATAAATACATTCAGAACACCTTAGCAACTGTACAGCAACCACTCACAGCACCTTTGCATTCTGGTGGTGACTTTTGCAACAAGAATCACAACTGAAATTTTCCTCAAGAAATGCACAAATCTAGTTCCTTTTATTTGTTTTTGCTGCCTGCTTTTAATTTCCAGATCAACATACTGCAAGCAAATGGCTCAGCTGTGCTGGCCGCATCATATAATTCAGTCGATTCAGTTCAGTCTATGTTCTTTGATCAGCCTTCATTCATATGAATGTGCAGAATGTGCAAAATGTGCACTCAGGAGGGGCCAGTTTATCAGACAGTGCAATTGAGCATCGCTGTTCTCTTCCGAAAAAGGTGTGCATCTCGCCAAGATGCGTTTTAGAAGCAGGTTGCGTGCTTTCAGGAGTTTAGAAGCGATGCAGCCAGCAGTACGCAGTGCTGTCGAGTGAGAATGGTTTCTCCCATCACCTGTGCTTCAAGTGGTTTGCCCCACTATTCAGCCAGCCTACCCTGAATGAGTCATCCTGCTCTTCCCTGATTGGGCAGTCGGGATCCATCCCGAGGGATTGCCGTGCAGAAAGCTGCCGAGGCCTGACTTCATTCACAGAAACGTCGGTATGCCCGTCTGCCTTTCCATTCACAGCCAGCCTGAATCATTTTTGCCCACCATCCTCTCTTCCTCTCCTCAGCATCTTTTTTCTGCATCTCTGTGACAACAACGAGCGAGGAGCACTTTTAATGCTTTGTCTCAGTGGAGAAGACAATCCCTTCCTCTCGTTCTCTCTCTCTCTGTCTTTTCTTCTTTTTTTTCAATTTGCAGGCAGGCAGAAAAGCGAGACGCTGGGAGGGACTGCAGTGCGTTAGCCGCAGCAGTACAGGAAGCTTGTGAATGACTGCCGCTTCCCTGTCACGAGCTCTTCTGGACATTTTACATGAATGGCTGTTTTTTTGCTGCCTTAATGTCACGGGCTTCATCCCGTC